TAAATAAACTTGAAGAACTGTTAGACAAAATGGAAAGCCCCGAAATAGTATGCTTCACTGAAGACTGGCTTTCTTCATGCGAGAATATCGCCTTAGCAAACTATGCTGCTTTAGCAAGGTATACCAATACAACACGGAGGTAGTGCAATACTTTTTAAAAATGGTATCATAGCCAACGAAATGAGTAAGGTCAAATCACTGTGAGAGAATCTTTGAGGCCACGATAGCACATGTACCAAGAGAAAATCTATATGTACTGAATATCTTCGAAGCTTAGAGATGAAATCACTATATTTCTATATCACAGGCGCCTCGACACCAAACTATTGAACCCTAAAAATTGTACCTTCAATAAACTCTATGAGAACATTAAAAGGAGTCTAATAGAAGCGACCCAAGAAGCAATTAGGAACGAAGAAAAAAGATACCAACAAGAAGTACTGGTGGAAGAAGCACAACAAAAAATGAACCAGATCTTGAAGTTTATAATGACACAAAAAGACAACTAAGAACGTACATCACTATAGCTAAGAACGAGTCATGAGATAAGAAATGTGAAGAAATTAACACCTACATAGGAGAAAAGAAATGCTCAGAGGTATGAAGATTTATATCAAATGTCAAAAACTCAGGAAAGGACAGAGCTAATATCCAGGTAATCAAACCAGAGCAATGGATAGAGCACTACAAAGTCTATTGCAAGAAAGTAGACCGGAATATATATTAGATTCTCCAAGACATATTGAAGTAGTTGAGATATCTGAAGAAACAGTAAAAAAGACTGTTAAGAATCTCAAGTCAGGTAAAGCTAGCGGCCCTGGAAGGATATACCTCGAAATGCTGAAATGGGGAACTGAGAAGCTCTTCAAAGGTCTCACATGTATTACCTATCAATAAATGCTCAAATGGACATCCTGTTCCAGAAGACTGGAAAACGGATTTTATGTCATCCATTCGCAAAAAAGGAAATAAGCTGGACTGCAGTAACTATCGAGGCATATCAGTTCAGTCACAAGCACACTAAGCAGACTATACGGTAGAACCTTGCGTGATATCATTGAAGAATAATATAAAGGGGAAGAAGAGGAAGAACAGTGCGGCTTTAGAGCAGGAAGATCAGGTACAGACAACGTATTTTGCCTAAAACAAGTCATAGAAAAGAGATCTGCTAGATATTTGGAAAGCCTCCTCACATTTGTGGACCTACAAAAAGCATATACGATATAGTCCCAGTCTAGACTATGGAAGGTATAAGAACAATCCAACATCAATCACACCTATATAACGGCACCTAGAGAACTATAAAAAGATTCATAATCAAGAATTAGGATAGGTAAAAATCTCACATTTATAGCGAATAAAGGACTTCGTCAAGGATGTACCTCTCCCACGCTTTTGAAAATATACTTAGCAGTAGCGTTAAAAAATTAGAAGAGGAATATCCATGGAATGGGTATAGAGATAAAGGATAGGTGCCTGTTTACTCTTCAGTTTGCAGTTGATCAGGTCATAGTGGCCAGTGACAAAGGGGACATGCAATATAATTAGAAAGCTGATAGAAGAGTAGGTACCAAGAATGAGGCCTGAGAGTTTATATACATAAAACAAAGTATCTATGTGAACAGGAAACTTGGAAGTGGACGATGGTCAGGAAAATCTGCAATCTCAGGAATATGAGTATCTTCTGTATCACATTCGACAGCTCCGGAACAGATGTGAAAGAAATAGAAAAGCGAATAGTTAAAGCTAAAAAAGTAATAGGATGCCTAAATAGCCTGCTCTTTATGATTGTCTCGTATACCGGGTGTTTTTCAAAACCCGCTCACCCCTATAACTTTTTTATTTTTTCAAATACACAAATGAGATTTGGTGTGTTCATTTATGACCCGGATGTGCATTATTTGACGTATTCAATTTTTTACTATCACTTCCGGTTTGACCGGAAGTGACCCTAACTACCTTATTTTAAATGAGACGCCATTTCTAACAAACAATTCAGTACCACACAATCGCTAGTTTATTCAAATATTGAACTAAAATTTTCCAACAATATTTAGAATGCTAGAAAAATTCTTAATTTGAGTGATGAACTAGCGATTGTGTGGTAGTGAATTGCTCGTTAGAAAACGCTCTTTTGGAACATGCTCATGAGCCATACCCTTTCCATTTGAAAAAACTGATATAATTCTAAAAATGCGCTTCTACTATCTTTAAATGAGTCTGTAGAGAATATAAAATACAAAATAAGAACAAAACAAATTTTCCCATGTTCCTAGGAGCAAAATTAAGCATTTTGACTTATTCATGGTGCTGGTGCTCTAGATTTAAAAGTAAAAATTTAAATAATTTGTTGATGAAATGTCAAAAAGTGACAAATGAGGTGTCATTGTACTCGTAATGTAGTTTTCTATTAAAATGAGGAAAAATATACCTAGCGTCTCATTTAAAATAAGAAAGTTAGGGTCACTTCCGGTCAAACCGGAAGTGATAGTAAAAAATTAAATACGTCAAATAATGCACATCCGGGTCATAAATAAACACACCAAATTTCATTTGTTTATCTGGAAAAATAAAAAAGTTATAGGGGTGAGCGGGTTTCGAAAAACACCCGGTATATTGAATTTTTTTTTCTTTGTTATTTCCTTGCTTCATATGATTTTATGGAGCAAGGAAATAACAAAGAAGAGAAAAGATAAAGAGCAGCCTTCTTTATGGAGCCGAGACTTGGAAAACTACAGACAGACAAAAGAAGATAGTGGGAGCAGTTGAAATAGATACTATTAGAAGATCCATGCGAATCTCACGAAGAGAGAGAATAAGGTACGACAATATAAAATAACAAATGGAAATAGAATGCACCGATAGTTCAGGACATGAAAATATCAGGTGACCCAGAATAATGCTGCATTGGCAACCAACAGGAAGAAGAAAACGAGGAAGATCAAAAATGGAATGGCAGAAGACCATACAAAGGTCCATGAGTGAAATAAATCTCTCATCAGAGGATTGCGAGGATAGAAGAGGATGGAAGTTGGGTGTCGGACAACGAAGAAAGGCGTTCTAAAAGGACATATACATATTTGTAATATCTACAAAGCACCAGGAGCAAAGGTCAAAGTATTCTGCTCAAATCTATTTGAAAACCTAATCTCTTACTCGAAAAAGTTAAACATTGTTATCATGGGTGATTACAACATCGATTACTTGAAAAACGATCAACCAGAAGCACAAGTTCCCGGATGCTCCTAAAAATTCACTTGAAGTGAAACATGAGAAATTCTCTAATCACGGTATCAACTAAGCAAACAGATCTATCTATCAGACCATGAGCTGGTATTTGCCCAGGTATACAACACAAATCTCCACTTCCGATGACCCATGGTCAGGAAGAGAATCTGCAACGCGAGAAACTTTCAAAAATTCTCTGAAAAACTAGCCTGTATAAATTGGAAAGAAAAATTGCACGAGGGCAACATAAATGCATTCGAGAATTTCTATTCTATTATTATAGAGACTTTCAATGAAGTTTATCCCATAAAAATCGTTAAAGCTAGAAAAAAACAAAACAAAATTAGATGACTAAAGGAATGAAAATTTCCTCAAAGAACAAAAGATCACTTGGCTACATCAGCAAACATAAAACTAACAATGACTTTATCAAGCCTGAGATACAAAAAACAAGTAGGCAAGTGGTAAAAGTAGTCAAAAGTAAACATTTCCTAAATAGAATACAGAATTCACTTTCACAAGTGAAAGAGATATGAAATAGCGTAAACGAGGTACAGGAAGAACAAAGAAAAAAATAGGCAAATCCGGATTGGCATGGATGGTGAAGAAATAAAAGATCCATCAGGAGCTAAGCAGTTAAGTTAAATGAGCATTGCGTCATAGCAGCCACAAAAAATGTAGAAGAAATACCAAATGTAAAAGCTACAACGTATCTGGGCCCAGACAATGTGGATCGATGTTTCTTTCTAACTCCCACGACCGCCGAAGAAGTTCTAAGGATTATAAGCTCTCCCCAAAACAAAAACTCAACAGAGGAGTAGACGATCTATCCATAAATATGATCAAAAAACTCCCCAGACCCTATAAATGAGACGCTTTCATTTGTTATAAATTGTTCCTTTAACAGGGGAGATTTCCCTGATAGCCTGAAAATGTCCGGAATAGTTCCAATTCACAAGTGTTGGAGGTGGGATCATTCCCTCTTGACTATAGACCGATCTCCTAGTTGTCCACATTGTCAAAAATTATGCAAAACCTGGTCAAAAACCGTACGACATCCTTTGCAAAAGTAGCCCATAACACAATCGGGGAAAATCAACTTGAGTTTCAAGAGAAGAAAAACACTGCAGATGCCATACATAATACAATAAACAGAGTAGGTATACAGAGAGCGAGGCGAAAACGAAGCGATTGTTACAGCATAGAGTTTTTTGACTTACAAAAAGTATTTGATGAGTGGTGACTTGTTAGCCAAGCTAGACAGATATGGCTACAGGGGTGAAATAAACTACTGGATAGTACAATACTCGACAGACTGAAAATTTGGTCACTCCATTTTCCCGTCTAGCAATCACACAAAACTCAATGACGCACATGGGGTATTCAGCTTTACAAGAAGCTGCCAATAGGAGTCCGACCGACGGTTGGAAAACTAAAAAACGTTTGAGGCCAATGTCAAGCGTTATTTGAAGGGCGAGGCTCACTACAACATCAAAGAGTATATCTTGAAAAAAATCATAATTTCCTGTAGAGAGGGATTGACTCTCGTTTTTGCTATTTGGCGAGTATCTATTTTGTCTTATTTCGTTTTATTTTATTTCATTTTAATATTGTTAAACCAACTATAGTTCAAGATTTTCTTTTTATTGTATTATACTGCATATTATGCTTTTTTAATAAATGTGGCTTGATATATATTTGACTACTCCAAAATTGTTCACTCAACGAAATACATAATCACTAGCCTTCATTTATCCTTAATTTCTTTTCAGTGTGGGACGCTACAGCGAAAGCCACAACAGGCGTTCTCAGAGGCAACGCATTCCAAATGGGACAGTTCGAACAATGCTTAACAGCAAAAGCACCATTCGAGCCTCAATATTGTATGGTGACCGTTACAATAAACGTTCCAAATTTGCAAAAACCGAACAGGGACAAGCTGGCAATCGATTTCGATCCGGGAGATTCGGTTCTGGACAGGCTTTATGTAAGTAAGTATTCCAATATAATGGGGCAATGCTAAAATTTATATTGAGTATTTGGCCATTGAAGTTAGAATTATTAGAGAGCTTTTTCTTAGAGGTACCAGGATAGGACTCAACAACCCAGGAACACCATTAATATAGGATGGTGCATTCCAGCTTCGTGCACATTGCATGATTTGGAGGTATCCTTAAACGATTATTTGAGTAATGTAGAAACTCCTTTGAACAAAAATAACATTAGTTATTCTGCAATTATTAAAAAGGAGTTTTGCCGTACTGCGTCGGAAAAGCAGTATTTCACTTATGCTGACTATTCTTTTGGGTAGGTAATTTTCGATTTTTCTGCTGACCACTTCATCTATTCAGTTATTTCCTAGCTTACTTGCTCTAATATTCATCCTATTGGTCCTTCTATCTACAGTGTATGATTATCAAGTGAACAATAAGGAAAACGCAGATGAAAAAGCTAAAAAGAGTAAGTGCATAAATGTTTAAGAAACAAGCAACTCAAACTTTAATATTTTAGAATCAACTTCTCAGAAGATGTTCCTGGCATTTTCTGCAAGATCAAATTTCACAGAGATGACCCAGTTAGAAACTTCAAACAATGATTTGAACATTTTGTATGGCTTGAGGACAATTTCAATTTTAGTAATAATTATGGATCATCGTTTTGGGACTTTTACTTCGTCCGCTTTGATTAATTTTGATTATGTTGAAAGCGTAAGTTCAAATTGACCTCTGGATAATAATTTTCGAGCTATAGGTACATTTCTATTTTTTAGCAATACAGAGCTTTATTTGCTTGTGTAGTATTCCACGGAGACCTTTTTGTGGATACGTTTTTTCTTTTGAGTGGACTTCTGGTGGCCTATGGATTACTCAGCCAATTTGACAAGCGAATGGTTAGTCCTGGATTTATTGTATTTCTTCGTTATATAAGGTAAGCTCTTTTTGCTATTTTTGTTAAATTATTGAAGCTAATGAAGTAAACAATTTTTTTTTCATCTTTTACCTACACAATTACTCATTACCTATTTAAATCCGATTCTAATTTTTCATGGAAAATTAAGGAGAACGTAAATAATTATTGAATTAATGAATCATTTTGCTGCTATTCAAACTTATAATCCTAATTACTTGTTATAAATCGCATGCTTAAATTATTATTACATTATAAATGTAATTATGTAGGTATTTATTTTGTTTTTCATGATAATAATGCATGACCATTATTATTTTATGTCATAAAAATTATGCGAAGAAACCACTTTCGAATGGTCATCTATTGGTAAATATTTTGTAAAAAATAGCTATTTACCTAACAAGTGCGGAAAATGAATTTTGTCGCACGCGTCTGCCGTTCACCGAACCACGCGTAGCGGAGTTCGGTGAAGCAGCCGAGTGCGGAAAAATATTTTCCGCAAGTGTTAGGTACAATATTTTTCCTACAGGCGTAAAAATGTAGAATTTTTCTTTTTTTTTTGACAGCCGTGCGGAAAAACTTTTTCCGCACTGATATGCGTGCGGTAAAAGTTTTACCGCACCGTGCGGGAAAACTCATTTTCCGCACGCATATCAGTGCGGAAAATCCATTTTTCCGTACGGCTGTAGGAAAAAATAATTACCTAAAGTTTGTTTCGCCAGGGTTTGTACTTGCCACCAGCATTTGCCTTCCTTGTTTAACAAATAAAAATTGACTGAAACAAATCAATGCCGTCAAAAACGTTCGTCGGTTCTTAAACCAGAAGTCATTCATTTTAATTTGTCGAAGAAATTGAATGTGTCATATGAATTAATCTACGACAACCCTTTTTTTTCAAGTTTCAAGGTCAAGTATGAACCCTGGTGAAACGGACCTTACCTACTAAATATATTCACTTAAGTAAAGGGTTGACCATACGAATAACAAAGCTAATTTGTATTACAAAGGGGCAAACTGCAGCATTTTCCCAACCGAATAGTTAGATGTTTGCCCGTCGCTTTATGATGTCAGATTTTTTTTTTTTTTTTGTCCTGGCTGAATGATTTGTGATTATGAGAAAGGTATATTACCTTATGTTCCCATGCTTATGATAGTGCTTCTTCTGGATTCCCAGGACCTCATATGTATAGGGTTGTGGTGGCCCTTCCATGTCGGGTCATGTGTGAGGTATGACTGTTTACCTTTGTATGTAGTTACCTGGTATGGGGGGTGGGTTGACCTGGGGGGGGGGGGGGGGCTGGTGTGTGGCTATCCCTGATCAGAGGGTTAACGGAGTTTGCGGTCTTGTCGAAGTGGTGGTCGCATAGCTCATGGATGTGATGTTCTAGTGGCTGAATCTGGGTATCCCTCCGGATAGTCGTGTTCTTGACGAACCATGGGACGTTGATGGTGATGTTCCGGAGGAGGAATCGGTTTTCCAGACTATCTAGTAGCCAGGCGGTTATTTGGGGACACCATAGTATACCATGCTTGGGTACCATACGTCAAAATGGGCCGGACGTACTTATAACTTGTAGGTACGGGCGTTTTCGGTTTTTCCCAAACACTATGGCCTGGGCTTTTGCTGGATTGACTTGAAGTCTCCACCTGTCCATCCAAGCTTCGATATCGTTAAGGTGTCTTTGTAGACGCGCCCTGATAGTTGGCCTGCTTCTGGCGAGGATAGCCGTATCGTCGGCGTAAGCTAGTAGTTTAGACTGCCTGGATTTGGGTATGTCGGCCATGAAGATGTTGAAAAGGAGCGGACTGAGTGGAAAACCTTGGGGGACGCCCGCTTGGCCGGGTCGCCACGTTGATTTGACTGTGTTGGCGGTGTTCGGGTTAATGGAGACGCAGAAGCTCCTGTCACTGAGGAAAGCCGCCACCAGTCGGACCTGGAAGTGTGGGAAGCCGGCAAGGAGCAGTTTTAATCCTGAATCCCATCTATTTCATTTGGGATCACATTGAGTCGGTGAGCAGAGTCTTGCAAGTCCCACTCTTTCTGTGATTTTCCTCAGGGCTGGGAGCAGGCTTATCGGTCAGTAAATGGTAGGATTTTGGAAGGACTGTCCACTTTTCCTGATCAGTATTATATTTGCCAACTTCCATCTGGAGGGGAAGTGGCCCAGGTTGAAGGTGGCTTGGACTATTTTCACTAAGCCTTCAATTTTTGTTTGGGGCAGCTTTTTAAGGGCCACTAACCTAACCCGTCGATGCCCGAGGCTTTCTTCCGTTCCAGTGCGGTTATAACTTGCCGTATTGGGTCGCTCGTGATGACTGGTGATTGGTGTGGTTGAGGCTGGTATTGGTCGGCGGGGGCCGATAGTCAGTCTCTTGGCCAGCAGGAAAGGACTTGTTCCAAGTTGATGGGTTGATTCCAGCTTTTCCTGCCACTGTTCGTTGTATGCTTCATTAGCTTTGTATTTGATGATTTGGTTAAGTTGGTTGACACGACCATTGAGGAAAGGGTCACCCGTTTGAAGCGCCGTTCTTCATTGGCGGTTCCTGATTTTAATTTCAGCAATCAGGTCATCAGGTCGGAGGGGAGGTGATGTTGTTTCCTGTTCAGGTGGACGGTCATTTTAGCTACCTCGAGAGCTTGTGACACAGATCTTGTTAGTGATTCAGCCGCTTGTTCGAGCTCTTGTATATTGTGGATGTCCCCAAGAGCCTGCTGGCTTTCTAAGTGGTTGGTGTATGTAGTCCAGTTTGTAAATGTGGCTTGTCTTCGTCTGGTGCGGAGCTGCCCGTCAGGTTCCCCGAATTCCACTACCACAGGCAGGTGGTCAGAAGTTAGCTCGTGGAGCACCCGTGGGTGGGACACGGGGTGAACGTTCTTGTGTATGAAGAAGTCCAGCAGGCTAGGGGCACCCCTCCCCAGTCGAGTTGGTTCGTCAGGTCTCCAGATTTGGTAGTTTAGTCTGTCGGCGCCGTTTTGGATGGTCAAGCCTCTCTGATTACTGATTGGGTCGCCCCAATCTTTGTTTTTGGCGTTGAAATCGCGGCACAGTAATACTGGTAGGATCGGGCTGTGGAAGAGCTCGTCCAGTTGGTTCGGAGTGAGGTTTTTGTTGGAATGTTGGTAGACGGAACCAACTACAATTTGGCGGTCTCTCGTTTGAATTGCAGCGAAGGTGCCTTCGAGTCCTTGTGCGGGATTTGTGTGTTCGTGGTGCGGTATGTTTTTCTTAATTGCAATGAGGGTGCCGCTCCCTCTGCCGTCTCTGTCCTGCCTGGTGACGACGTAATTTTGCAGGGAGAAGCGGTTTGACACGCAGGGAGAAGCGGTTTGAGAACGTCGATTTGCTGCTCTTCCAGGAATCTTTGTAGTTTGATTTTTTTGGACCTGTCAGAATTGCAATTCCAGGTTCAGGGTTGCCAACAATTCCGAAAGTAGATCTACTAATTGAGGTTATCGAATCTACTAGAAATCTACTAGACGAGAATTTAATCCAAATTTTCGCGACGAATGTAGTTCATCCAAGGACGAACCATAGTTCGTTTTGTGACGTCATGAATTTGAACGCTGGCTAGAAGCTGCTTCCATGCTTTCGGCGACCTACGTTCAATATGACTTCATGAGTTTCTCGCAAAAGCGTTTGTGTTCATGGAATCATGGAAGTAGTTCGTCGCGAAAGTTCGATTTTAGGTACTTTTTTATTTTTATCAAAAAATCTACTGGGTTGCTAACTCCCCTTGATAAAAAGAAATTTATGGAAGTTGATTTGTTGTTAATCTGAATAAAGCCAAATATTGATGGCTGCATGCCCAAAATTTTTGTGGTTTTTAAATATCCAAAATAACACATACTCTATGATGATTGCAACTCAGTATTTCATTTTAAAACAAGATATATGAAAAGGGCAATAATCTAAAAGAAAGTGTGCAACCACGAAATCAAAAATAACTAAAAATTAAATAACTCTTGAGTCTTGAATATGTATACATAAATTAGCAAAAAAGGACTAAAATAAAGCAATATATTAATTATTTACAATACACACCAATCTTGCCGGAGATTCCCCAGATTCTCCCGCAAAATGAGAGAACTGTGACTGGTCGGGTCTGTGACGGGATTACTGTGACGTGCTGTACTAGGCCTTTTCAGAAACGCTGATCCGATCAACCCAATCACTAGCTGATGTACTTTGCCTTTTTTCAATCCTATTCACTGGAGAGAGATAAAAAACAAACAGCTGGTGATCGGGTTAGTCGGATCAGCGTTTCCGAAAAGGCCTACTGTGACGTATAGTATACTGCTATGTAGCAGCTCTAAACTCAACTAAATTAGATGGCGAATTATCGGTTATAGTTTATAGCGACACTAATAGGAGGCCGTTTAATTAAAATTCGGATTCCACTAGATTTTCTACTGCTCACTAAAACATAAATTTGCCCACCAAATGAAGACCTCAATCTACCAGATTTAGTAGAGAATCTACTAAGTTGGCAACCCTGTCCAGGTTGCAATCCGAATAAATGATGGTGACAAGTAAGGGTTGGGCCGGGGTCTATTGACGCTGAGACTGTGCTGGAGCTTCGGGACGCATTTTTTGCTGTTGGCTCCAAACGAAAGTCGACGGAAGTGCAGGTTTATATGCCAGTTTCTTGGCATGCTTGGAATGTTTGGGACATCCCTGGTAAGAAGCTGGGTGGGCACTGCCACAGTTCGAGCAGATTGCGGCGGTTTCTTTTGGCTTGGTGCAGGGCAGAAGTGTAGTCTTCAGCGCACTTCACGCACTTGGGCAAAGCTCGGCAGTTCGATTGGCTGTGCCCGTAAAGTTGGCAGCGGTGGCATTGTGTGGAACGTTCCAGTTGGCGCTGGGTTTCCACCCTGACTTTGATGTGATTGATGTAGTTCACTTGGTAGATAGATTTCTCCGGAATTGGTACGATCACTAGCACTAGTGGCACAGGATCCTCTTTTGCATTGTACCACCTTATGATAGATGTCGGATGGTCGTTCAGGCTCTCCAGTTCCGATTTACTGTAGTCAGTCGTCCATTGTTCAAAGGGGCCTCAGATCACAACCCTGAGTTTTTTCTCCTCGGGGAACGAGAACGAGTGGAAGGGTTCCCCGTTCTTTTCCAGGAAGGCCTGCATTTTTCTGCAGTCCTCAGCCGTGGCAGGGTGCATCTTAATGCCTTCGTTTGTGTTTGTGGAAAGGCCAAACTGGATATTTTGCTCCTTAAAGTGGGCAGTGATGTCGTTGTATTTGGCTTTGTTTCGGAGCACGATTGGAGGGATTCTTTACCTTGGCGGTTGGAGGGCCCGTGCCTGAATGACGATCGGTGGTTTCAGTTCAAAGCCTTTGCTAACGGGGATGTTGGCCGTTACTGGGAATTCAACTGGGCCACTTACGGGTTTTTTGTTGGAAACAATGACAGTGGGGTTTGAAGGCTCTGGTTTTTTTAAGCACCTTCCTGGTTGGTTGCTGGCTCTCGTCACTGCTCTCGTCACTGCTCTCGTCTGGTTTTGCGGTTTGGTAGCACAAAGTCGTCGTTTTCCTGTGCTACGTCTTCCTCCTGGTCCATGGATTCGTTATCACTGGAATCTTCTGTATCGTTCTGCTGCTTGACCAGCTTGGTTAAACCAAGTATCTCGGCGTTCTTGACATTGTCGGCGGTATGGAAAGCGCTTTCAGCGACTTTGAGCTTGAGGTTCTCTTTCTTGACATTTTCTAACCCTTGTTTTAGCACGGCGTTGTCGGATTGTAGCTGCACTAGGTCGCTCTTCAGTGCCTGGTTTTCTTGTTGCAGCCCTTCAATTTGGCGTGCAATGCTAGCTTTCCACTCTTCCAATGTCTGATCTGGCATCTTGAAATTTGGTAACACACGCTGACTGACAGTTTGGTTGGGCACTGGTCAACATTTCCCTCGGCGCGCAAACTAACTAGCTTTGATTTGAGTTCTCTCTTGGCTAGGCAGATGCTTTAACTTTGAGAGCTCGACTCAGAATGATGTCAGATTTACTTAGAATTTGTTTAAAATTGACCAGCCGAAATCACAATTCCTACCAAATTCAGGAAGTGGAAGATGGATGGATCGAGAACATGTCCAGAACAATAAAAATCTCTTAGAATCTGGAAAAGTAGCCAAGATGGAACTTTTAATGTAAGCAGAATCGTTTCCTGATAATGTTCCATAGAAATTTCCTGGAAGATTGGACACATTACACAAAAATCATCTTACTGGTTTATATCGATGATTTGATTTTGGCAAGCATCAAATAAACTCTCAAAAAAGATATTTTGGGTGAGGAATTTCAACATGAAAATGAAACAGCGAGTTAAGGTTGATTTCGAAATTCATCATCGAAAAGCATATGTGTAGAAAGTAATTTCTGACAAACGACAAACCCTCAAGAGCGATTTGATAAGGAGAAATGCAATTCCATCAAAACACTGATGGAGTATATACAGGGTACCTATATCATTTAAAACGAAACAGGCTATAGTATATAGTATTTTCAATACCCATTTAGAATAACCCCATCCTTATTTATCAATCACGAATCAGATGAAACAAAAAATTGCCAACAAAAACGAACGTCGATTGCTGATACGTCAATTTCATGTACAAATAGGAAATTCCTAACCTAATTAGGTATTAAAAATTCTATATTTGATGTTACTTTTATTATTATTTTTTAAATCGCTCGTACACGTAATTCGATTGTGTGTTTGAAATATTTTTAGCACTAACTCAACTCTTTAGGGGGGGTGGCACCATTCCTTACCATCCCAGAAAGAACAAGGAGTCGAGTGATACCTGTTTCAAACGAGGGTTCAATTTTCTTTCAAATGACATCAGATGAAAGAGAATTGAATGGTGTTTTAAAAGAGGTATCACTCGACCCTTTGTTCCATTTGAAATAGTAATGGTTGATCCCACCCCGAATAGAGGTTTAAAGTTGCAGTGCTAAAAATGGTTGCAGAGAACTTCCCCCTTTGAAAATCAAATTACGTGTACAGGGTGATCTATTATAAATGTCACCCCCTGCTAACTTTTTTATTTGACGTTTTTGACAGAAGTGTCAAATACAAAAGTTTCAAGAAATTGTCAAAAGTTTTTAATTAAATCAGTTTTAGGCATACAGGGTGCGTCAAAAAAGTGCAGCAGTGTGAAGTTATATTTTTTCAAATGGGACCCCCTATATGTTGTACGCTTATTAGTTAGTCACCTTTAATCTGATTTCCACGATATATGGTTTGATATGTTTATCTCTCGCTTTATCTCCAATAGTTATAGAGAAAAACGCGAAAATCCCTTCCTAGATCTCTCATATATTTTTTTTTTTTAATAATAATAATAACTTAGACATCTGGATTTAGTATAATATTTCACCTTGTATATTAATGAATAAAATTTGAACAATAAAAAAATTCTCTAAAGCTTAAATGGTATAATTTTTCTATTTTCAATATGAAAATTTGAAAGGGGTTTTCATGTTTTTCCCTATCACTATTGAAGATAGGCATATTAAACCGTATATCGTTGAAATCAGGTTAAAAGGGTCTAACAAATAAGCGCACAATATACAGGGTGTTCCATTTAAAAAGATATAACTTCACATTGCTGCACTTTTTTGACTCACCCTGTATGCCTAAAACTGACATAGTTAAAAACTTTCGACAATTTCTTGAAACTTTTGTATTTGACACTTTTGTCAAAAATGTCAAATGGAAAAGTTAGAAGGGGGTGACATTTATAATAGATCACCCTGTACCAGCGATTTTTTTTTACTAAACATTGCATCAGATATTTAGTCCGTTTCGTTTTAAATGGTACACCCTATATGTATGTATACCAAGAAACAGACTCTAAAGTCTAAAGAAACCTCAACTACTGAAAAGAGGTCCAGATTTTGTGAAAAGTTCGCTCAAAATTCTAAAATCAATCAAGCTCCAGGCAAATTAATTTAGTTGCCACATGTAAAACTTTCCTATGATCGATAGTTTTTCGACCAAGACTTATTTCTCTCAAATAGTTTTGCTTTGATTTTCCGAAATATCGAACGGCCTAACTGCATTTGATTCATCTATATTGGGGGCCAATATTTTTTGAGAACAACTTGAAAAGAGAAATTTTTGAATTTTCCTAAAGAGGATTTATCAGAGCCATTTGAGAATCATGTCCGAGCGATTTTCCAATAAATCTACTGTTTTTTCTTCAAAATGTATAAATTGACTGTATATTTTCCATTCTAGGTTGACTCCTGTATACGCTTTCGTCATCTTCTACTACGCAACCCTATTTGATTACACTGGAAATGGTCCTTTATGGAAAGTCGTAGCCGGAGCAGATTCTGACGATTGCAAAAAAAACTGGTGGGCCAATCTTCTTTACATTAACAATTACGTTAATCCTGATCACATGGTAAGTGCACCGAGATAAATCAAATTTAATTAGTCAATAATTGTTGCTGAATCATGCATCGTATAAACACCTGGATTATAAAAAAGAGCGCAGGTTTATTTTAGTATCCTTGGTTTGATGAAAAATGATTTTGTTGTGTCATATTTTTTGCACTTTCGCTTTCAACTGCATATCTGCAATCTAAGCGAGTGCATGTATGTTCTTATATGCACGCGTGGGACTTAAATAAGCAAAAAATATAAATTATCGGTTCATTTACGACTGACCTGTAATTACGTGGTTGAGTGAGAAGCAAATTTATTGTATGCTTAATGATAATGATCTTGAAAATTTGACTTTTTTAATGCAAATTTTTTACCATTTTACAGGGTGTGTTTTAATAATACCTACTTATTAGATCAAAAAGCCGCAGGTGATTCCCACACAAGGACTTATTTATAATCCTCAATAATAATTGGTCTTTTTGATCAAAACCACGCCAAAAGCTTATATCTATAAGTATATAGACAATTTACGTATTAAGATGATAAATTCTTTACCATTCTTCTTACCTTAGTTATAATAATCTCCTTTTACATGCAATTTACATGTCTTGAAAACAGGCTGAAACGCGAAATCTGTGTGGATTTTAATAAATTTGAGATTTTCATCAATTTATAGAAAACCTGAAAAGTTCTTTTGTAAGTACTTTTTTTCATTGATTTTCCTGAAAAAGTTTTAGCGAAAATTTCCTTCAGGTAATATTCAGGTGAAATTGCCGATAATTTTTTTCAGGTATTTTTTACCGGACTCGACGAGTTATTATCGGGGATTATTCCACTGATGTGTTAGAAATCCTATAAGACAAGTGACGATTTTCAGAATTACAGCGAAAATTCTCTTCTCCATTTTTTTAACTAGAGAGAATTACAGCGATAATTCTCCCATGTTATTTTATACATAGTTGTCATGCTAATTTTTGATACAAAGAAACGGTTCCTGATAGCAACCATTTATTTGTATTGATTGTTAAGATGTTCAAATCGTTTAATACATATTTATTTCCATATTTTTTGCATTCTCATACGTGAAATAATCCTCTAAATACCACTTGAGCTTTAAAATGAACCAGATAATTTTTCACTCATGCGTGTTTTCTCTGCAATGTATAGAAAACCCGCAATCGTGAAAAATTATCGGTAATTTTGAAGCTCTCGTGGAATTATCCCCGATAATACCACAATACCACGAGAGCTTCAAAATTACCGATAATTTTTCACGATTGCGTATTTTCCACAATTTCACGAGTCCGTAGGACGAGTGAAATTTGCAGAGAAAACACGCATGAGTGAAAAATTATCCGGTTCATTTTAAAGCTCAAGTGGTATTTAGATGATTATTTCACGTATGAGAATGCAAAAAATATGGAAATAAATATGTATTAAACGATTTGAACATCTTAACAATCAATACAAATAAATGGTTGCTATCAGGAACCGTTTGTTTGTATCAAAAATTAGCATGACAACCATGTATACAATAACATGGGAGAATTATCGCTTTAATTCTCTCTAGTTAAACAAACGGAAAAGAGAATTTCCGCTGTAATTCTGAAAATCGTCACTTGTCTTATGGGATTTCTAACACATGAGTGGAATAATATTATATCACAAGACCTTCAAATTTAATCGATTAAACTATGCAACATATTTTGAGCATGATTTTGCTTGGAAAATAGTTGAATGCACAATAACTTAAGGGCTCGAGGGCTTTTATTTCAAAGTTATTGTGCATGAAACTATTTGCCAAAAAGCAAAGTTGTGCGAAAAATATTTGGATAGTTTAATCCATTTAAATTTATAGGTCGAGTGGTATACGGCTGGATTATTTCCTGAATAATTATTAGGATTGAAGCCACAAACAAAAAGTTCTATTTTTTATTATAAAATATCAGAATATTTCTATCCAAATTCTGTCAAAAAAGGTAAACAAAAATTTAATCGCTGATAAACAGGTCTTGTGAAATAATCACTTATTTAAACAAAATTTAGTCAAAAAATGACGTTGTCTGATTGGTCTATTCTATAATGAATGAAATAATCAGCTTTATACACAGTAAATTCGACACAAACTATCAGCTTTCCATACCGTAGATCAGACTACATATTTCCAATTCAGTCTTCGATACTTTTATCAATAACAGTCGTGGAACCCTTGCCAAAACGAGCCATATTTGCTTACAAATTCGAAATTATTTTTTAAATGATACTTTTGTACACATTTTTTGACTGACAACATAGCAACATAATGATTGTTTTAAACAAGGTGTCTAGTAAAATACTGCGAACAGGTATAATGATTCAGGAAATTTTCTTATAAAATATAACTCGTGCAATGAAAATATATCTATAATTTTTGAAAAATTTGCGCTTCTAACTGAAAATGCATTCGGGCAAATTTCCCAAAAATTATCGATACCTAATGAAAATTATTTTCATTGCACTTGTTATACAGGGTGACTCAGAGTAAATTTCCCTTTTCAAACGCGTCCTGTACATCCAACTTAATATTTGTGGGGGGTTAGCGCTGGCAATTTACGGCGACTGCGTGCGGATTATCAGTAAACATGTAGCAGTGGTCGAACAAGCAACGCGCGTTTAGTGTCGAGGCGTTTTTTTTAAATCAAACGATTCCTATGTCGCGGCACGGCGACGTTTTTGTAACCGTTACAATATTCGGCGTATACGTGATACTCCGTCAAAAAATTTATTGAAAATTTGGGTTCAAAGATTCAGACAAAGTGGTCTAATAGAAAATCCGAAGCGTCCCGGCCAATAGAAGTCCATCAGAACGCCAGAGAACATTGGGATTGTGCGACGTGCTGCGACTGAAAATCAGAGGCGCTCAATTCGGAAACATGGCGGGACGCTTCTGATTTGTCAATTGCCACTGTATCACTTTGAATCTTTGAACCCACGATTTCAATAAATTTTTTGACGTAGCGTCACGTATACATAAGAATCATTCAGTTTGGAAAACGCCTCGACCATAAACGCGCGTTGCTCGTTCGACCACTGCTCCATGTTTACTGATAATCCGCACGCAGTCGCCGCATATTGCCAGCGCTAACCTCCCCACAAATATTAAGTTGGATGTACAGGACGCGTTCGAAAAGGGCAATTTACTCTGAGTCACCCTGTATTACCTACTATACTGATAATAATAGATAGGTAGCAGATATCATCATTTTTTCGACATTTTCGTCATATCCCTTGAAGTCATTGAACATAATTCTTTAGGTGTAGAGCCTTTATTAATTATTATTGATTAAAATTATTAAAAATAATACACTGCTCCATAAGTTTTCAATTAGCTTTAATAATTGACAAACATTTGAAAAATGGAGTTACAAAAACTCCATCCAAATCGGGCCTATCTATTATGTGTTGAAGATTTCCATTATGAGGTAACATTTATAGATAGCTAATTCAAGTTTGTGCGTCGCAGCAAATAGGATATTGAGGAAGTAAAAAGAAGTTTAAATCCTCTCCTGCTAGATAGATACCTATAAAAGCTGACTTTTTTCAATAAGAGGTTTTCAATGGTGACTGCTTCTTCGGTGATGACGTTATTTGTCATAAAATTTGATTTCCATACCTATATTCATCTTCAGGCCCATTTCTTTCGAATCTGTTGCCAACTGACTTATCAGTAATCATCAAGTATTATTCTTCGAAACTTTTAGAAATAGAGTTATTTATTATTCAATATTACCAAAGTTGTGCATTATTTTTGATTCCTTCATATTCATCGTCAAACCTATTTTTCCGATTTTTCTCAAATTTGATTGGCAAAGAATGACTCGCAGTTTACGAACTTTCCCAAAACAACTCGAACAGTCAAGTTGCAAGAATGGAAATATGCTCAACACAAAAGGAGACCTAATATAACTGAGAAAATAAATACACCTATAAACTTAAGACGACACAAAATGTAATAACGAAATTGGCAGAAATGTCGGATTTTGATATATCCGATCCAACTCAATCTAGCCAATAGAATGAATGTTATCAAAAAAAGTAACCAAGATGATTCTATATTTAGTTACAGGAAATAAGTGATAGTGAGGTTCGAAAGTTCAAAATGTAGGATCGGAAGAAACTAAGGGTAGGATTGAGTCGGATGAAGAAAAGGAAAAATCCTAGGCATTTCTAATTAAGTGAAATGATGAAATGGTTGGGCACATTGGGCTGTGAGGTGTGTGAATCCTACTGAGAAGATGTTTGACGAAAAGAAAGATCAAATCGAACAAAAAATCTATGCTTACCTCCTTATTGACTTCTGCATTTTGCAGTATTTCTTTCCATTAGGCATTTGCCTCGGCATTTGCTTATTTATCAAATTTCCACTTTATTCATTCCACTATTACTTAATAGTAGATTGATTTCCACCTGGGCTTTTTCTATTTTTCATTTGATGTTATGTTGCTCTCAGTTCTCCAGCATCTATTCGGCAACTTCTCCTGATCCTACATTTTGTATTTTCCTTCTTTTTGAATATTGAACAACCAGTTATGATGCCATTTCGGTTGCTAACTTAATAGGTAGGTACCAAATTATCTTTTATTATTATCTTGGTCACTTTTGGCCTTCTGTTTAATAAATATACTGTAGTGTGACAAAAAAACGCATCACCCGATAGAAGTAGGTAATTATATTTGTTAATCAAATTCTGAATACATGCGCTTGGGCTATTGAAAGTAAGATATTTAATAAAAAATATAAAAATAAAGTAAAATGTAATCAATAATTTTTTTTTGATACTTACACATATTGTAGAAAATTTATAAAAAAATATACACTTTAAGTGGGTGATGCGTTTTTTTTTTTGTCACTTAGTATAGTTCGGATCTTTTTTGCATTCGATTGTATTTTTGATCACCATTGTATTAATTTATTTATCTCGAATTTTGTATTTATTTCTATGATGGCTTGGAATATACGGTAGAGCCAAAGTTGACA